AACTGTTACCACATCCTTGGTAACATAGTCAGACCATCTGCTTTAGTAAACCCAAGTACTTACAAACTAGTTGTCAAAAGCCCACATCCAGCCCAACCTATATCCTCTATAAAGCCTACCCAATTAACCAACCCTTATCCAACATAATCAACTAAGTTAACCCAAACTGAGTACATCCCAAAACCAACAACCATTAACCTGTTCATCATTGAAACAGTACACGTCCATTTAACAAACCCAATTGATCTAGTTAATGCATACCTTGAACCAAGATGGAATTTCATTCCATTGGATCCTGAAAAAACATTCCAGTTTTACCAGGATATCTTGTTTCATACCCACTCAATATTCATCAAACCTATCTTTGATAGGAGAGATGCTAGTAAAATAATATATCATTCCTTATATATACTAAAGTTTATTTTAGTAAACGAACAGAGATTTCACCCATCTTTGCTCAGAGACCTCCCCGGTCACAACAAGCAGTTTAGTTACTATGCCTACATAGAATCATGGTTCAAACTGCTACTCTATCAGGATGAGTCCTATACTCATTCCTAGTTTCTCCATTTCACTAAGGATTTCAAAAGCCAAATTCCTTCTTAGTTTTTACGGTGGTGGCTAATGCACGGCCACATGACTGAAATCCTTCTAGCTGATCTTCAAGATCAAGTAATCTACTTCTTCTCCAGTTTTAAAATTAGTTAGCATGATTCACAGTTTCCTACATTACTCAGGACCACATGATTGAAATCCTTCCAGCTGATCTTCAAGATCAAGTAATCTACTTCTCTTGTTTTAAAATTAGTTAGCATGATTCACAGCTTCCTACATTACTCCTTTTCATGATAAGGTTCCGTGGATTCTAAAATGACAGTACTCTATTGCAGCAAACAGAGTTCCCAGGCAATTCTATGTCAAATGATGGGCCAAATTTGATCACCAACGTATCATTGCCCAGGTTAAAGCAGAATTTCTAGTAAAAGTTCCAACTCCAATTAAAATTACAAGTGCAGCCACTAATATACCACCAGTGGTAAAGACAGTAGCTCTAGGGCTCAGGGTCTGTACTCCGAGTGTCTCAGCACCACTAGAAAAGCAAACTAAGTCTTCACCAAAGACTTTTAGTAAACCACAAAAGAATAAATCACAATTAATTGAGCTTGCCCAAAAACTACTCCAGTAAGCTAGTCAAGATGATGATGACTCCTCTGCCTCATCACAAGCCTGAGTAAGCCAGTCATTGAATCCATTTCAAGATGCTCAAAATCCTGATGATGCCTATGACTTATCTGGTCCGTGATTCTAGCTTCCATGTGTATAAAGACTTCAATCATTACTTTCTTCCTCAAAAGAAAGAAAGTTGTCTTTTGCGCGCCTGTGGAATCATTTTAGTAACCAAAGCTCATTTTCCACCAAAAGGAGGAATCAATCAGCATTTTCCATCAAAAGAGGGAATCAATCAGTAGCTAGAACCCAATTATCAACTCGTCTTGCACAAAAGTCATCATTCACCTAAGTAATTCCACCGAAATGCAAAGTAAAAAGAAAAAGCAGTAATCATTTAGCATACAAGTACTATTCAAGTCACATGTAACTCTGTTTTTAGTCAAAAGAAAGACAACAACATAGAGCTCGAGGGCCTAGTAATTATTCAGAATTCATATCTTCAAGCCTATATAAGGATTGAAGAATACAATAAAAAAGGGAGAATAAAATTGTCAACACAGAGCCTTCTCTGTACACTCCCTAGTTCTTAAGTTATTGGAATATAGTTTTCATATGATGCAAAAAAAGATCTTTCTGCAATCATATATTTGTAAGTTAATTTCCAGTTAATTATATTTGTAGTAAATTTGAATCTTTTAGTAAATATTATGTTATGCAATATTCTGAATTTAATTCTCTTTACTTCTTTCCGCTGTTTAAATGTGATATAACTGAGTTAAATGTATATATATGAATTTGAAAAATCTAAAATGAAGGAGATTTGAATTTTGAAATATGAATTTTATATGGATATAATTAAACTTTTTATTTATATGTGGGAGATAGAAAGAGAGTTTTAATTATGAAAAATCAAAAATGAAGGAAATTTGATTTTTTTTGAATTGTGCATTTTATATGGTTATTATTAAACTTTCTATTTGTATTTAAGTAAGGGAAAATGGATCTTTTGAAATGGATTTGTCCTTAAAGGCCCAAAAGAAAGGTGCTTGGACCTGTTGCCCTATTAGATTATAAGATTGTACCAACATCCAAAAAACCCTTAAAAGAAAAGGGTTTTTGTCTTAAAACCCAGAAGAAGGTTCCTGCTCTTCTTCTCCATGAGCATACTGGTCTGTAAATGTGAAACCCTAGCCTCTATGCCTACAGCAACAAACCTTGACAACGCAATGGGAATGATGCAAGAACTCTTCCTGATATGCAGCCAAGGTGAAAGAGCAACATAGGATTACTTGCGATGCCTCAGAGCTTGCAAGTTAGGATTTGCAGCAACAGTCCGACAAGTTGTTGCAAGAGTATCGACCCTTTGAACTTCCGGCAACTCGTTGCAGTAGTATCAACACTTCGGCAAGCATGGCGGCGAAGATTCTGACAATGAGGAGCAGCAAGAAGACAATAATAATGGTGATGATATGAAATGGCTAGTGAACATTAACAGTAGCTAGAGGGAAGCAAAGAGAGATTAATGGATCAGAGTTGTACTCTGATATCAATTGATGTAGGGCAGAAAGAGGAAGAGAAGAATAAGAGAACAAGGGGAGTTTACCCCATGCTCGCAAGTATTAAGTTAAGAAACACAAATTCTCTACAAAGTAATAATTTTTCTTAATATCATTTCACGAAAATATCATCTATACAAACACACATATGCTATCTTTTTGGGTGATACCAATAAAGATGTCTTAATGCTTGGTTGATTTTGGTCATAAACGGATATAGGTTTTAATGTCCATGATCGAGCTCCTCAATTGTGTAATGATCCAAACGAAAGGCGGGACAAGCCCCTTTAATTTTTGCAATGTTAGCTTCTCATATTAGTAGTATAACCAACCAGTTATTTTAATGAGCTAACCTTAGTGCTACCTTGACCTTGGAGAGACTTTTGACAGTAAGCTTATCCATTTTTCCATTACTCCAAAACCACATACTCTCATGTCCGAATCGGGAGTTGAACCTTGCATCTCCCCTTTGTGGTCTTAGAAAAAATACCATTGAAGCTAATAGGTGGTGGTGACAAATTTATGAAGAGAATCTTTCGGTGAGCAGAAGCACCAATGATGGAATTTTGAAGAGCTTGCCTCTACTTTCGATATGTAAATAGAATTGCAACTAGTCCGCCAGAAGTCATTTAGCCTTAGCCTAAACATTTGGAATGTAGTTCAAGATTGCAGTACCGGCTATCGGCTTGGAGAGAACCGAGGCACTTGGTCACAGCATCACGAAACAGCATAATGTGATATGCACAAAATGCTCGATATTAATTGGACATAGAAATAGATTAGGTCGCATCATAACACCACTAAATGTTATGGCCGCATCGTGAAACAATGATCACGTCATAGAAGGTGTCGATCTAGATACGACTCTATCAAGACATATTAGCATTGGTTGATACTTTGAACCACATTCAACAGCCCCCATCCCCTCAAAAAATTAAAAACCACTAATCAAGAATCTATATCTTTGGTAATCTAATCCAAATTGGATCTGGAGGTTTATTTATGATCATAATGGGAGGGTCCCTCGATACTTGTGGCATATTGCAAAGCCACAATAGCAGATTAGAGTGGGGTTGAAGGGCCTACAAAAGTTGAGGCATCATGGTGTAGGCACATTCAAATGGAAGGTAAATTTTAGAGTTGTTACAAAGTTGGAGTATGGGAAAAGCAAAAGATTCTTGGAGATACATCCAACTTGTGACTTAAGTTATCATACACACTTCAAGTCTACGACCTATCTTATCTGCTGATCTATCCACTGCTTAGGTCGATAGCAGGAATATGTTCCAAGTATGCACCTAGCTGGAAACATAACATGTCACTGGAGCGAGGCGAGGTTTGGAACCCTAGTACGAAAGGGACGCCTAGCGAGCTAGGCTTTTAGAGATGAGGCCTTTTGGCAATGCCAATTCAATTTAGGGCCACCAAACCCTGGAAAAACAAAGTCATAGTCTGTGCTACAATGGATCCCCCATAAGTAAACCACCTGTGGTGCCTACTCATGACAAAAATGGCATTTTCCGAATAATGGAGCCCTGCCATTATAAAAAGGAAAATGAAAGCAATAAGATTCCACTTAATCTTCAGGCTGCCGCATTCCACTTTGCACATTCCATCCTTCAGTCTTTGCCTATCGGCTTGGCAGGCAAGCTACCTTGATGCATCTCCAACTTCAATTCATTGGCTTCTTTTTTGGGCAAGTAATTCCATTGAATTAGAAAAGCAAACTTTCATCCAATATAAAAGAATTATGTCTTTGAAGGGTGACTATGTCCTCAACTCCTCCTTGAGTTCCTTTGTGTGGGTGATTTGGGGAGAGGAAAGAAGGTCATAGCTTTCATTGTTTTTTTTCATCTCTCTCTTTTTACAGGTTTCCTAAACATCCATTTGTAACTCTAATTTTTTACCTTTAATTAGCATGCCCTTTTCAATACATCAAAGTTCTAAATAATTTTGTTCGACTCCTTTAAGAAATTTCCGCATGAAATTAACATCTGTTATTGCTTTCGACGTGTGCAATCGCTACTGAGGAAGATATCCTTACCACAGTTCAGCTGGCGGGTTCTCCATACACTCCTCTTTTGCAGAACAAAATTCAAATAACAAGTACGAACTCAACAAAACGTGAATAATTTTAGATGTGTGCTAGACATATTAATCAGGCCAATAATATTGTAAACCAAGTCGACAGCAACAAAGAATGAGACAACATCAATTAATGCAGAAAATAGTAACATCTGTGTTCCTCTGTTGACTCAAAAATACTGCACAAATTTAAATCACCTCAACTGGAACTGTGCGATAGCCAGCCACCTTCATAAGGTAATCCATGTTATTCCACCTCGTGCTAGCGGGCCAATGAGCCATACAATCACTGATTATAACTGGCAAACCTGACAGGACATAATCACACAAAAATCCCTCCAGTGATAAGGCAGACCTTTTCCCAACTATCTTACAAGACAGTGACTTGATGGGTAAAACCCGAAGCACCTACAAGCACCACTATAAAATTCACAACTTTTCTTTTTAACTCCTACTATTTGGAAAGATATTTAAAAGGTTCTAGTCAGTCCACAAGTGGTAAAAAGACAGTAAAAACAATAAGAGTTATAAGTACTGTGATGAAAACTTGAACAACAATATGCACCATCAAATACACAATCCCTTGTGGGGCCATGTGAACTCCTATGCAAATCATGACTTGCACACTTCAATTCCACGTTCATGAGAATTTGTGAATTTAAGCCCTAAACGCATAAATCCCCAAAAAAAACCTTAGCTTTGGTGCATTTTTTGTACACAAAAATTCAATTTTGGTGTGAGGAGTTGAACCCACTTCCAAACCTACAGAAATTTGACCGAAATGCCAGCAGGATACAACAGATTTGCTCAAGCATACTGAGTCTATTTGTAACGTGATGGTTAATACTAATAAGAATACTGACCCCATTTGTAACTATATAATTAATACTAATATGGACAATGGGAAAAACTAAAAAAGATGGTCAATTTTCTCTTAACTCCCCCTACACATCACAGACCAATGGGGAGATAGACAAACACCAAGCCGCCTTCTTTTTTGAACAAAAGTATCAACATTTATCTTCTCATGAGCAACAATTCATGCAAAGACCTAAATCCTCAATGGCACTTTATCCTTTCAAATCATGAAAAAGGGCTCAAAACAATTAAAAGATGCAATATTGATTCCCGACTGAAAGAAACATTTACAAGACAAAATCCTTAAGGGGTCAAGAATCTGGTACCTCTTATCATAAGACAACGTATCCAACTAGAAAGCACGGATACTTCCACTGGGCTGTCATGGCACTGTCAGACACGTGTCCGACGCGGCTAGAAATATCCTGAATAGTGAATTCAGTCGGACACGACTAGGCCACGGCCAGAATATGATCAGGACACGGTTAGGACATGGAAAAGATACAGCCAAGATTTTTATTTTTTAAATCACTATTAACTATTAAGAGCGGCGTGATTTCTTTATTTTTTATTTGTGCTTAACTTACATACTATGAATATTAACGAATGCAATGATTTTTTATGAAATAGTGGATATTTATTTTGATATATTTTAATTTTAATCAAAAAATTAATATTTAATAGGTCCTATTATTAATATTGTTATAATATAACTTATATACTATGAAATATGAATGTTAATGAATACAATGATACTTGAAGAAAATAGTGGATGTTTATTTTGATCTATTTTAATTTTAATCAAAAAATTAAGATTTACTAGGTCTTATTAGTAATATTGTTTATAAAATATACTTTGTTTTTAATATATTATAATTCTATGACTATCTAACAAATATATTATATTATTTTCATTAGTCATGCCCGTGTCCTATATTTTCAAACTTTGTCGTATTCTCGTGTCCGTGTCATATCCGATACGACACCCGTGCCGTATCCGTGCTTCCTAAGTATCCAAAGACGCCAAACCAAGAAGAAACAATAACAAAGGCAATTCTACAATCTCACTGTCATTCAAATTTATTAGAAAAATCAAAATTTCATCAAGACGAAACCGAAAAGGAATTAAACATAGTAGAGAATAGATATTGAGAAATTATGAGTCCAAGAGCCCCAACAAAGGTCAGGGAACAAAAATGACAAAGGGACCTCACTCCTCTATAAATATATTTTCAAAAGTGAATTATTCCCTATTCTCCACATTCATTATAATGTAATTAGAAAGGAACCTGAGAAATATATTTCCAAGGACAGTGAGAAGAACTTCTAACCATCACATCAGAGCTCGCCCATTAGATTGACCCATATTTACTAAGCAACTAAGAGCTAGAAGGAATATAGTCCCAAAGGGAACATCCAAAGCCAATTTCTCAACGACGGTACATTTCTCTTGACCAAATTGCCCACAGCTAACGGAGATGTAATCACAGTGCTAAATTAAAATATAAAATGGGGTTCAAAACTTCATTTTGCCAAAAGTTTTAAGTTTTAACAAACTTCAAATTTTTTGTCTAAAAATCAAATGCCAAAATCGAGAATTTTTAGCCAGCACCGCTACATTGGCACTGCATTTTTTGGCCCTTCAATTTAGTCTCCTTTTTTTATCAATCTAGGACTAGGAGATGATGTCCAACATATTTTTTGGTCTTCCATTATTTGGCCCCTCTTAAGATAAAATTCAGGTTCTGTCCCCGCACATGATTAGATCTGGAGATGAGCAAAATGACCGTGTACATATTTAAAAAATGCATGGTATAAACATAAATTTTTGATCAATCTAGAAAATAATGTCGAACATATCTTTTGGTGTTTCATTATTTCGTCCCTCTTACGATAAAATTCTGGTTCGGTCCTGTACATGAGTGTTTTTATGAATAAACAGATTATGAATTGAAGTTCAATAGTTCATCAACTTTTACCCCCATAAATAATAGATTAAAATGTGCCGCATAGCTGTAAAAATTTAAAAAAACAAAGAAAATTCACGAATACACAATAAATGATATTTACAATTTCTATCCCTACACAATCAACATAAACATAAAAGAAACACAGAAAATATACCCCATTCAAAAAAATTTTAAATCAAACAAATAATCAACAAATACAATATAAACCAAAAAAATTTTTAAAAAAAGGAATAAATTAAGGAAATAAGAAAAAAATAATATATTAAAAAAAACAGAGAAAATTTTGAATGAGGAAGACGAACCTCACCTCCGCCTCGTCAAATTCTTCACAAACAATTCTACTCTCAACTCTCTCGGCACTGTCTATCCCTACCTCTAAACTCATAAGTTCACCCGCTTTTTTCGAAGCCTTTTCCACAGCCGAATCCAAGTCCTTACGAAGAGTCACTCCTCCCATGATTAAACCCATATCAAGAACCCTGAGGGCTTCTCCAAAGTCTCCGTTAAAGTAATAGAACTTCGCCACTTGGAGGCACGCCATTGAGTAGGCGTCTCTCCAGATGGGAAGAACTGAGTGCCACGGCCCAGAGTGGAGTTGCTCCCACGCCATCTCACTTGCCGCCTCCGCCGCTCGGAAATCGTTGTTGCTGACGGCGACGGATGCCATCCTAACGTAGGAATACCCACCTTGCTCCGTGATTCGTTGGAGGAGGTTGGGTCTGGCGGAGTCTAGAGTTGGAGTTTCGAGGACGTCAGCGGCGGTGGCCATTGATGGTGATTGTGGAAGAGAAGCTTCGGTGAATCAGAGAGCAAGAGCGAGAGAGAGAGAGAAGTGTCGGGCCATGTTTGGTTAGTTTCCGAAAACTGTTTTCTTTGTTCTCAAAGTTATACACCCAAAATTGAAAAAATGAGATTTGAGTCAGACAAACAAAAAATAAGTTATATTTTTTAAAAATTTTGAAAACATGAAAAATAATTTTAGACTTTAACAAAATTTGTCCTTCGAGTCTCCTTAGCAACAAATTTTTTCACTCTTTTTTTTTTACTCCTTCCTCTTTCTCATAATATATAATATATATTATAATATAGTATATATTATATTATAATCTATTATATTATATGTTATATATTAATATTATAATCTATTATATTATACATTATATATTATAATATATACATATATATGTAAATATGTTTATATATATATATTTATTTATTATTTATATAAATACATATATAAACATATTTATATATATATATATATATATATATATTATATATACTTATAAGTATATAATATATATATATAATAAATTGTCAATATAAAAATAAATTTTTTATATTTTTTATTAATGTTTGAATTACTATTAAAATATATATTTAGGCTGTCCAAATATGTTTTACTATTTTCTGTATTGTAAAATTATTTTTGAAATCATCTAACCAAACAAGTTTTTTATTTCAAAAAATATCAAAACCATTTTCTTAAAATTCTTCTCAAAAACTGTTTTCAGATACTAATTTTTGAACGCAAACCAAATAGGTCCATAATTTTGTTTTTCAACAATTCGGGTGCATTTTGATTAATTTTTTTTGGTTCGATTAAAAACAAATTATCTAGGTTAAGATTAAGGTACTATTTAAACATAAAATAAATAAATCTTATGAATATTTAATGTATCGATATTTGACAATTTGAATGCAATAAGAAGATGACATGTGGCAGAATCCCCCAAAAAATATGGGAGATAATCAGTTATAACCATTTTTGAAAAGAGAAATAACTAACTGAAGGATGATATTCAATAACCATTGATGGAAACAAAATCGTCAAGAACAATGACTATAAAAAGACATGTAATAGAGAAGATGAAACTTACATTCAAACTCTCACAAAATCCACGATTTGGGCATTTTTAAGAATACTAATAGATTAGTTTTAAAAAGTAGTTACTACTATAATCAAAGCTATTAATCCAATATTTTCTATAACTATAGTCTTTTCGATTGAATTAATAAAGGAATTCTCTTTTATTAGTTTCATGTACTGTGATTTGTCCATTAAAATTCATCCAATATAGTTTTAAATAAGGTATTTGAACCTCTCACAAATAATCGCTTGAAAAATGTTTGTCGATTGGGTTTTTTCTATCTATAACAACAGATTTTAGAGTAACAATCTTTTTGGCACGTTTGATGGGACAACATTACTAACTTTGATCAAGAAAAATGGTTCGAACAAGGACACAAGACGAGATTGTGTTTGGCACAACTGAAAATATGGAAACAACGCCAATTCATAGCAATCATGAAGCAAGTTTGAGTACCAGCCCAGTGAAAACTACAATTCCAAGAATGGCCAAGATAATCTACAAATACAAAAATTTGTGCAAAATCTGAAGCAGGTATTGCAAATTTACTTTTGGCAGTAGGCAAAACTTAGTTAATGTTATGC